TATATTTATTATTTTTATTATAATGACATGATGCACATGCACTCATGTTACCGTATTCAATTATTATACATTATATGTGTATATAGATTATTGCTATTTAGAAATAAGTTCTTAAACTTATTTTTCTTAAAAATAAAACTGTAAATAAAGAAGTAAAGCAAACAATTATCTCTTCTAGCTACCTTTGTACTTGGTTGCTGCTTGACGTAGGTTGCTAAGCCTATTAAAATTTTGCATGCAGAGGATATTAAACAAAATAATTCTTTTTAGGTTTTATATATACAGTTAAATAATCAAAAAACCATAGATTACTATACCAATACCATAGCATTCCACTATAATTTATCAAGCTTAATAACTAAGCTGTATTTGGGTCTCAAAAAAATATTAAATTTTGAGCAGACTTTCTTGGTTTGAAAGAATGAGTTAGTTTCCAAACATGTTAAAATGGCTGCGAAAGCCACTAGGGAGACATTCTGAGCTTCCTATTGGTTATTATGTTATTTATAGAAGTATGTGAATATAAGGGAGCATTTTCAAAAATTGAAAAAGACTATAGATTTAGTATTTTGACATCACAAATATCTAATTTGAACCAGTGCTGCATTCAACATACTACATGACACACAAAAATTTATGTTTAACTGTGTTTTTTATGTTTACTTTTAAATTAAGAAATTGAGTAGGGTATAATACTCAAATTTGAATTATAATCTACAGTTTGATACCAAACTTATTGATATAAATTCATAAAATAGTAGTTCAATAAAATTTTGGGTGCGAGTCAACAAACACTATGACATGGCCTTTTACTCGTGACCCATCTGGAAAGGGTTGATAGGAAAACAGTTTTTTACCACAACCCAAATAATGTTTGATAACTCATATCTAAAGTAACTACAAACTTTATATGCTTGGATAGTTATAACCTTGATAGTGTTATATTTAAAGAGTTCTGATAAAACATTTCATAGCTGTAAAAAGATCTGTATATTTCTGTTTATGAGCATAACTAACCAAAAACATTTAACATTTTGCTGAACTGTAGTGTCTGGAAAAGAGAACTTGAAATTATTCTTGAATTCAACAGAGAACCTAAAGTTAGGATGCTGTTGTGATATGACCTAAATGAAGAGTAAATGTATATAATAGTAACAAAACAAATTGCTATTGGTTAAGAATGTTTTGGAAGTAGGTATTACAGTTTTTCAGGATATGTGATCCACTTAAGTTGATTTACCAATTTAGTTTTAGTTGTCATAACTTTGTGTATTGTTGAATATGGCTATTGTACTTGTTTTCTTTAATTTTGTTTTGTATTTTCAGCTACATCGGATAGAGTACGTTCATTCCAAGCATCTAATTTATCGAGATGTGAAACCAGAAAACTTCCTAATAGGACGACAATCAACCAAAAAACAAAATGTCATCCATATAATAGACTTTGGTTTAGCCAAAGAATATATAGATCCAGAAACTAACAAACACATCCCATACAGGGAACACAAGAGCCTTACAGGAACAGCAAGATATATGAGTATTAACACTCATTTAGGAAAAGGTAGAGTTGGAGAAACAGTTTAGAAAACATTAGTGAAGTATCTTCAGTTAATTACGTTTTAACTACTATGGTGTTTTTTTGGGGGGATTTATAAATTACTTTTCTGTTACAATTAAGATTTTTTAAGGATACTTATTTTGGCTATAACTTGAACTTGTTTATGAATAAAGTACGAAGATCAGATGTCATTAAAGTTTGTTGTGAAAACATCTTTAAGATGTTTGATATATATACACATGTATTTTTAAATTAAAATTTTTTAACAAAATTTATAAAAATGTATGCTTTATAGGCATATAAATACCAATAAGATAATTTCTAAGTCAGAGCTGCTTTTATTATTTGATAAAGCTGCCATCATGAGTAATTTCATAAATATAGTAATAAGTGTTCAGATGAGCTAGTAGTTGTGATGTTTACTACAAATATTGAAACTGTATTGACAGATTTTCTAGTTATGCTTTGTTTTTCTGTGTACACATGTATTATGAAAATGTAACTGTCAATGACAGGAACGTAGACACCATATACTTGCTAGCTTAAACGTTTTTTCAGTAAACTTTGTTAACCATATTTTCATGGGCTTGGTCAAATTAATGACCCTGTACCTGTGAAGCTATTTATAATCCTGAATTTACTTTGTGTATGGAATTTGGCAAGCTTTTGGTAAGTATTGTACACAAAAAGCCCAATGTTTTATTTTTACTAAAGATATGTCTTTGAATTTCCAAAGCCTTTGCTGAGTCTGTTTGAGTGAAAAATGATTTTCATACTAAGAATAAAAATGCTTCTTCTTATCATATAGTTTTCATTTGCACAACCTATAGAACCTCCTAAAAGAATATCAGATGAATATCTGTAAAACTTTATATTTCATCTCTTATTTTCTCTACTCTAATAGCACTAACTGTAGTGAAATAATCAACATCTACTGAAATGGAAGGTTGACAAATATCATATAAAATTAAAGTACTGTTTTTGCCTCTGCAATGATTGCAGTATTAATCAGAAATATATGCATTAATTATTATTTTAATAATTTCAGTTATTAACTTTTTCACATTTGTTTCCTTTTAATTTTATGATTTTATTGCAATACTTTGTGCCCACAGGAGCAGTAATCCTCACAACATGAACAATAACTCACAGCAGAAACCCATTAGTTGTTTCCAGTAGAGCTAATATGTACAGCATGTGATACTGGGGTGTCATGTTACAACCATGTTTGAGCTCTTCAAATGTTAGACATTTCATTTTACTGAAGTTTTGTCAATCTAAGCTAAAAAGTTTATACTTTTTTGTATATATAACAATAAATAATGTATACATAAAAGCAAAGATTTGTAGTACCTACTGCATACTTGAGCTTGTTTCCACTCACATAAAAATCAAAATATTCTTCTGTAGGCCTTGATAAGTCTCACAAGTTAGAATTTCCAAAAAAGAATTAATGAAGCTTTTAAATGTTCATTTTATAACACACACAACATATTGAGCACTAGAATAGAATGCCCCAAAACAACTGTAATTTATGTGGCTTTCTAAGTAAGATATAGATAGGTTAAAAAAAGTCCTTTAGAACATTCAGAGCAGCAGAATATGAGAACCACAAACCAAGCAATACTGCTGACTAGAGGAGGTTTACAGTGAAAAAGCTAAATAATGACACGTAAGATTTATGCAGAGAATCAGCTTTTTCTGTTGGTTATAAATATGTTCATCAGCCACATAAATTGGATCAACAAACAAGCTCAAAAGGAAGAGATATTGGAGAGGGGCTTTTCTGGAAGGTTTGACAATTTATTGATATCTCAGCAAATGCAGAAGATACAAGGTTAAAATTTTAGGTGCTTATAATTATGTATAGTTTGTGTTTTTAACTGTTTGGAAACTGTAATAGCCTATTTTTAATGTCAGAAAATTCTGAAATGGAGAAATCAGAGATGGGTGTGCTATGTGGCACAAAAATATTTTAAATATTTGAATTTAAGAAGTTATAACTTAGGTAATATACAAATATTTATTATAATCTATGTTTTTGTGCCAAATGTATTAATTAAATGTTGTATTTAAAGTTATAAAATATCATTACATATGTAAAAGAGCAAGGCCCAGATATGAAGGGTTAACGTAGTTAGTTTTATAAAGTATCATATTTTATAGACAGCTGATGTAGTGCAAGTAATGTTATTTCAATCACAGCTATAATGTATTTCTGTGATAGACTTGTATTTAATATTACTATAGTGTTTTTTTTATTTTACTTCCATTATTATAAATAAGAAAATTGTATGAATGGATTGCTCTGAAGTGTACTGCTATATAAGTAGCCTGATATGTCAATACAAAAAAAATATTTTTGAATTAATGTAATTGTTTAGAAGTGCAATATGAGCAACTGCATAGTCGACTTTTGTTCACTTAAATGTTTTCAGAACAGAGTAGGCGAGATGATTTGGAAGCCTTAGGCCATATGTTTATGTACTTTCTTCGAGGAAGCTTACCTTGGCAAGGATTAAAGGCAGACACCCTTAAAGAAAGATACCAGAAAATAGGAGACACCAAAAGAGCCACGCTTGTTGAAGTCCTTTGTGAGGGTTACCCTGGTAAGAATAATGTGATAGTAATATATTTTTATTTTTTCAGTGTTAAGTGTTGCACAATTTGCCTACTAAAATATCAGGAAAAAGATTTGCCTTAAGTAATATTTTGGAAAATAAGTAAACCATTGTTCAATCATAAAATAGCTGTGAATTTGTAAGTATAAGAAAATGGTGTAGAAACTATCATAGAATATTTTAATATCTTTATCTGATAAAAAAAAGCAAAAAAAACCTTCGACGTGGATTCCTGTACGTGGTGAGGAGACCTCCCAGGGAATGTTCTATATTTTCAGTTACTTTCTCTGGGATCTAAATATCCACCCACATGTTTGCCGTGCATGGAGACCCGTGAAGGGGAGGAGAGGATCCTGGTGGTTGAGTGGTGTCTGAGTTACTGCAACACACCACTTTGGCCTTGGGGTGGCCCCCCCTAGGGTCAATCGGCTGGTCCACTGGGGCTAGGGTCAACTGAGTACCAGTGTTGGGCGTTCTCAACGGGTGTTGTGGACATTGTGTCTGATACTGGTGTTTGGGTATAGTGCTCATGAAACCCTGGCATTGCTGCAGTGTCCTTGTTTGACAGTGTAGTGTGTCCCCTCGTAGGACTCCATGGCGGGTGGGGTCAGTGGGCACTGAATCTCTCTCTTTAATTGTGGATCCCCCATTCCAAATAAAAAGAAGTTTTAAAAATCTGCTAATTGGTATACGACCATGCCTATAAGACTCTGAACAGCAGTCTCCATCACAAAGTACACCTGTACCTCGCTTTTTTGATCCTGCATTCACTGTCTGATAAATCTTTAGGGCAAATGTCTCCCTTTTTTATTCAGAAGGGCTTAGAGGGGCTTGCTGGCTCTCCAAAGTCAGTTAAGAAGCTTCGTTCTGGAAACATCGTAGTAGAAACTTCCACAGCTAGGCACGGTGAACTCCTCTTGAATTCAAAGGCCATTGGGGATATACCCATTGAGGTTACTCCCCACGCTTCCTTTAACTCCTCACGAGGAGTTATTGTTGAGAGGGATCTGAAGTCTATCCCCGAGTCGGAGATCCTTGCTGGTTTCTTCAGCCAAGGAGTTTCAGCAGTTCGAAGGATCTCCACTGGTCAAGATGGAATTATGGTGCTGACCTCAGTTTTGATTTTGATGTTTTCATCACCACGTCCACCTGCCGCCATTAAGGCAGGTTATTTGAACTGTAAGGTACGGCCCTATATTCCCAACCCTCTCCGATGTTTTCAGTGTCAGCAGTTTGGCCACTCAAAGACAACTTGTCATGATTCTGTGAAGTGTGCTCATTGTGGTGGCAAGGACTATGACTCCTACGAGTGCAAAAAGGACCCTCACTGTGTTAGTTGTAGTGGTTCCCACCCCTCTTACTTTAAGTCTTGCCCTAAGTGGGTGGAGGAGAAAGAGGTACAGCGTTTGAAGACTCTTAATAACATCTCTTATCTTGAGGCTCGGAAGCTTTTGTTCCCTACTACATCTCGGACATATGCCTCTGCACTACGCTCCACTGCTACAGTGGGAGTGCAGACGGACCTTTCCATTCCTCCATCTTAGTCTCTTTCACGCCATGTGCGGGGTTTTCTGCCCTCTATGGATAATAGAGTTGATAGATCTACATCTACTCCAATATCTGTCCCCACAGTTCCTTCCAGTGACTGCCTGGGTCAACCTCCTCGGGCACCAGCTTCTGGTGTCTGTGCAGGTCCTTCTTTGGCCCCTAAATGCGGGACGATTATTTGGTCACATCCTCAGTCATTGGATTCTCACTCTGATGACAGAGATCTGCCCACTCGATCAAGGGCAGGATCCATGGAGGTCGATCGTCCTCCCTCTAGTAAAGAAACATTGCGTGGTCATAAACGGATGGGTTCTCCACCCTGTTCTCCTAAACCTACATAAAAATGGCCACTTTGATACAGTGGAACTGTCGAGGTTTTCGTTCTATTCTCGATGACACTAAGGACTTGATTGACTCCTATCATCCCGCGTGTCTCTTTTTACAGGAAACATTTCTGAAACCTGCTGTTACAGTCACTTTTCAGCAGTTTTCTTTGTACTGGAATGACAGGTTGTGTGATGGGCGGGTACATGGAGGGGTGGCACTGCTGCTCGACCAGCATGTGCCCTCCTTACTTGTGTCCCTCGATACACCCTTGGAGGCCGTAGCCATACGTGTTTCCTTGGGTTGTGCCATCACTGTTTGTTCTCTCTACCTGTCTTCTGGGGAGACTTATGATCAATCGGACCTTGTTGCTCTCGTTGACCAGTTGCCACCTCCCTTTTTATTTTTGGGAGACTTAAATGGACACAACCCCTTCTGGGGTGGTGCTGATATTGATGAGAGAGAAAGGTTGTGATCCGAGAGCATGCGCTCTATGGAACGACCCCTCTTCAATACTGGAACATATACTTATTTTCATGCACCTACTCAGTCTTTTACAGCCATTGATCTCTCGATTTGCTCCCCTGCACTTTTCACTCGCTTTTCTTGGATGGTCGACAGCCATGGTCGTTTCCACCCAACCCGAGTGCCACGGTGGAAGCCGGACCGGGCTGACTGGCCATCTTTCACCTCTCTCTCTGAACTTGATCCTGCCTTAATCTGTCTGCCATCAATAGACGACTGTGTGGTGGCAGTAACTGACTGTATTGTCCAAGCAGCTGTTTATTCTATTCCTAAGACCTCGACACGTTTTCCACGGTATCCTCGTCCATGGTGGAGTCCTGCCTGTCAGGAGGCACGGAAGGCTCAAAAACGAGCCTGGGATACCTTCTGACAGTATCCCACTTTTTCTAACCTCATTGTTTATCAGTGGGCCCATGCTCATGCTCGGCAGGTTCGATGTCAAAGCCAAAATGAGTCTT